GCTCATGACGATACCTAAGTACGTATGTCGCCTGGACAGTCACCGCTAACATCAGTTGACTGGACAATCTCTTTACATGAGCTGCTGTTTACATGTGAACATTAGCTCATGACGATACCTAAGTACGTATGTCGCCTGGACAGTCACCGCTACCATCAGTTGACTAGACAATCTCTTTACATGAGCTGTTGTTTACTTGTAAGAATTACATACTATATTCGGTTTTTAATCTATTTTAAACTATTATTTATTTGTACCGACAATATTAAATAATTTTGCCCCCAAATAACTTTCAAATTCAGCTATCTAATCTACGAAATTATTTAATATTAATTATAACGTTTTCTAAATGTTATATTACAAATTGCACTTTAAAAATAAATATTTTATTAATAACAATTCCTTTTTTTCTATTGGATAACTATAAACGGTATGATTGCTATTGGTAGTCTTTTAATTTGACAATTTTATTACGAATGGCGGTAAAACAAGCCGTCTTAACTGTACAATACATTGTCAACCCAATTCCGTAATTTTAAAGACGAAAACCAATTGAAAAAAGTTGACAGATATAGCTAACATTGCGCAGCCATCTTTACAATTTAATGTGATCTTATTTCGACAGGTGGCACTACTAGTTTTAAGGGTCATAATTTTAAAGTAATATTAAGAATATAACAAAAGTGTTCACATGTTATATTTCGTTATGGTTTTGGTATAAAAGCTACAATGAAGTTTTTAGGTCAAATTACATAATATTCTTTTCATTAAGACGTAGAATATAGAGCTAAAAATTGAAAATGTTTATGGGTTACCTTTGTAACTTATTTGTAGGCGCTTACGTTACGTGAGGTCCTGTTTGACCATCACTGTAATTGTCAAAAATAGGGTAGATGCCTAATTTTTATTTTAATTTACGTCTGGTAGATTATTCTGAATCATTAGACACGATTTTTTGATTTTCTTACAGAAACGAATACTTTCGTCGATATATTGATTTGAAATGTCGCGTGACGTCACTTCTATGTACATTTTTTGCGTAGAAATGACGTTTTAGCCCCCACTCCTAAACTTTGATTCGTTTTATCTAAGTATTGTTTTAATAAACGATAAAATAAAAATACGTGTCTAATATTTTTCATTACCTAACTTACGGATTCATTATATTTTTAATTTTCGTACCCTGTCATCATCCCAATTGGTTAGACACAGAGA